CTTTCAAATAATGTTTTGGAGATTAGTGCTTCTACACATTGAAATCATGAATCAACCACCGTTAGAAACCTAGAAGCACTCGAAGACCGTTTCGTACTTGCGGGTGAACTTATAGTTCAGCAGCTTTAACAGGCTTTTCAGTTCACTTGTCTGCTAGAAGTGATGAATGTGTGGATATTAACTTGTCTGTAGTTTTGGATCGAGATTTTTGGCCCTGATTCTTCTTAAGGGAAAACATGAGTGAATTTTCAGCTTTCGGATTGTATACCAGCCTCTAGGGATAGCGTTAATATATTGAGCAAATGTGCGAGATTAATTAAATAGTATTTCATCCGCTTAACAGCCATCATTGGGTTTGAGGGTTTTAATGGCAGCTTAAATATCAATACAAACAATTTTGATGGTACTGAGATTATTCTTCCTGCTGCAGTTAATAATAATGTCAGACAAGAGATGTGTTCTGATGAAGGGATAACCATGTACTAAACAGTACACAAACAACGATGTTCAGGCTTGTAGCTGTATATTATCCAGAGGTCATCCGCAAATACGAATGATTTTCCAAATTCTATAGCTTTATATGTATCGTTTATGTATATAAGACCACTGTTTATTGGTCATGGTGATGAAAGGCAATCGTTGTATATCACCATTTGTTGGCGTCCAGTTATGAATTGAACAAACCAAGAATATAGTTTCTTATTGATTCCGAATGACTTTACTTTGAGGCGAAGCCTTTTGTGTGGGGTTTTATCAGAAGTTTTCTTGAAGTCGAAGTAACTGACTGATACTAGAAGCCGTGTGTCTTCGTTTCTGCGTGATATCATCGAGATAGATTGCCAAGCTTGTATCACATGACCTGAACTTCAAGAAGTTGATATGAGGCTGTCATTCAGGAGATGTAGTAATAGCGTTGCCTTACCTACTTTCCTCGTTACTTTAGATTCTACTATATTTATGTTGATGGGTCGGTTCTGTTTCAACATACGCTGTAGGCCTAGTTTTAGTTGTGGGTAACACCCTGTGGAGATTGTTTTGTTAAATATTCTGTAACACACAAATCATTGCCCCCATTTCGCAGCATTCTAGGTGAACCATTTGCCTGATTATTATTTTATACACCGAAGTCCACACCTGCGCCCTCATTAGAAATAATTGGGATCAGCTGCAATTCATTTATTAGATTCAAGTGTAACCTGAACAATCGGTTATACTTTTTAGGATTTCATGTACGTGGTTATCCTAAATAAGTACGTTCGAAGGCCCATTCGCGAATACGATTTGCAGATTTTGCTGGGATGCCAGATTTCCAACCGGAAATTGCAAGCAGAGGCTTGTGATCTGTGAGAACCGTGAATCTACTACCATACAAAATCTTCTGGTGATGGTCCACAGCAAAAAAAGGCAACAGTGTCTTCCCCTATCTGGCTTTAGTCTTTTTCCGCTGGGGTTAGTGTACGGAATGCTCGCATATTGGTCTAGAAACTGATGTGAAATAACAGCAAAAAGGCTTTATGCTGAATCTTGTGCTGCTACGAGGATCGGCATCGATGGATCGTAGTGTGGTAATAACAATTCCGATCTAATTATGAACTCCAGTTTACAATACGCCACGTCAGACTGTTTAGTGAAGTTCTAACGGCTTTTCCTCTGAAGTAGACAATTCAATAGAGCGCTAATATCATGCATCCAAGGGACGAACGCTGAAAAATAGTTATTCAGTCATTTTGAAGATCGTAATACTGAGACATAAGTGGGAATAGAGTATAAGTTTGATAGCTTAGATGCCCTCAGAATCCGGTCTGCGGCCATCGGTATCAAAGATAAGCCCAAATACTTTACAGACTGCAATAAAAACTGGTGTTTCTCCAGGCGTAACCGGAACCCGTAGTTACAGATGTGTTGTAGTACCGATTTTGCCCGTTCGTGTAGCTGTTCTAGTTTTATTGCAAGAATTGTAATATCATCGAGATTGGCCTCAACTCCCAAGATACCTGGTAGGATAGTATCCATTAGTAGCTGGAAGATAGACGGAGCGGTTTTGGCTCCAAAATGCGAACGGTTATACTGGAACAAACCACGACGAGTGTTGATAGTCGGCAGCTCTTTTGATGCTTCTCTACTTTCACTTGCAAATGCGCATCAGCCAAATCCACTTTCCCCCATTTAACATGGTGAACAGATCGATGTGAACTGGCAGTGGATAATGACGCTGTTTCAGAGCTGCATTGAGATTTATCGAAGAGTCTGCACATATACGTATCGTGCCGCTGACCTCATTGATATCAGCTGTAGGTGCTGCACAGGCAGAGTAAGAAACGGACGTAATAACTACTTATTACTGAAGGCTATTCAGGTGTTCATCCTCTGTTGATAATGTGGCTTAGGTAACGGGTCTCTTTGAACGGGATGGCGGCCTGGTCCCAGGTTTCAACCGAAGTGTTGCTTTCTTGGCAGTACACCGACCTAATCAAGGCTGGAAAAGGGTTGAAAACTGTGTCATCAGCTTCGCCATATATGCTTCAGGGTCATGTGTTTGCATATGGTATTATACAGGTCATCAGCAAATTTCAGCTGGTGAAACCAATCTAAACCAAGTAAATTTAGATTAGCTGGCGTTATATAATGTACGCCAGTAAATGACAAGTCTTGGATGGCAACTTTACATTCCGATTGCCCTGAAAGTCGGTAGAAAGTTCGACTTGTCAAAAGAGGCTCTTTTGTTGTTAGCTGAACGCTTTGGCTACCCCGTTTGGTACAAATTTTACTTGAGATGATGGTGACATCATATGATTTGTCTATTTGCAATCTAAAAAAATGCATATTATTACTAAGAGTAGTGAATTTCCTCTCACCTGGTGATAAGCTTTTATAGCATGATATTAGGCTCAACGAAGTGATACCTGATATAGAAACGGACTTATTGGTACGTCTGGATCGAATTGGCTCTCTCATTAGACAAAAATTATCTTAATGACCAATTACTTTACACTTCCTGCACTGCGTCTTTTTGTTAGTGAACTTTCATGACTGGAGGCCGCATATGAGGATTAAGGTTCTCAACTGGTCTCCCGACAAAGACTTCAACCGGCAACACTCGTTGACGATGCTCACATGTGTAAGAAAAACCTAGTCTTAGTTCATAACAAGCTTCAAACATCGATAACGACTATTAGACAGTGACGATTTGTTACCAAAATATTGTCTTTGTATCTAAACTGTATCTAAGAATGATTTATCTTGTGTGTTTAAAGACAGGATCAAATTACAGAACTTGACCAGAAAAGACAAATGATGCAGTGACACGATAGGCTATAATAATCCGTTGTCAAAGCCTCGGTTAACTATAGCGAAAAGTTCTGATAAGTAATGGAGACTGTATTCCACAAGCATCTAGAAGAAACGAGGTTTCTAGGAGCACAAATCAAGCTTATTTAAACATTGATAGCAACGCCTTTCAGAGAGCCACAATAAACACGGACAGCTTTTCTGTTGGGTTTATTGTGGTGTCATAGTAGACCTCGTACTCTATAGTTTATAGTGCTGCTGATTCCTGATTCCGTTTACGAGGATTGATATTATTCTGTGATTGATAAGTTTGTAACCGAGGTACAGTCTGCCTTTCGACCATTTGCTTTCGTTTAGGACAAAGTGGACTGATTTTTCTAGAATATAATATTTGACTGAATGTTGTTGATGCAGACAATAACATATCTAATGCTGAAGGGTACTGATAATAAAATCTGTGGTTTTGTCATCTATTTTCTCGTATTTCTGTCAGAGAATGATAATATTTTGATCTTTGAAGGAACTATCACTCTTCATGCGAACTCTTCCACGCTTACATTCTGCTCGATCTATTACATTTTTCCCATTTTATTTTTCAACAATGAACATTCCTCTATAAACGAGTATCATCAGCTGTTCGGTGCGAACTTTGAAAGTGGTAACATTTTTTCACGTGTTATAGTTCTCTTCAGAGATTTATCATTTGTAGGCTATTATACTGATACAGTCAAATCATATATTATATCCAGTGAAGTTTGATTCTAAAAAGCAAAATTCCCAAGTCTTTATTCAGTTATTACATACTTGTCGTAGGCTAACACTAGGAAATACTGTATACAGGCTTACAATAGTTGGATAAGGTTCTTGAATTTTGAATAGATTATCATAAATATACCCATAAGCTGACAGTTATTCTTACACTAAGTAACTAAACATCTTACCCATAAAATCTCACCTTACCTCTTATGGTTTAAGCACAACAAGTTATACTCATATGTTTGCGTTAATTCGAAAAGCACTCAATTTTCAATTATCATCATTAATTTGATTGAACGAAAAAAATTCACCTACTTCTAAACCACCCAAAATGTCGAAATCTATAAACTATATGCCTGATCAATCTGAAAATTGGAAGAGTCACACTTTCATCTTGTAAACCCTGTAATTCTTGTTTACAAATGTCACCATCTTTAGTCAGTAATCTGTATGATAACTGTTCATTCAGTATACCGACAGTGAAACTTGTAGATATATGTGGTACTATACCCATGTACACAGACTAAACATCAGTACAATATTGTGTAGCAAAAATCTAAAAGTTCACAAACTAAGGCATTGAATGATCCATCCGACAGCCATCCAAATAGTAACTGCCACGGCAATGAGATACATCAGTTACAAAACTCATGCGCTCAAATTTGTGAACAAGATTTTCAATCGTTTAGCTTTGGTAGCATAAGCGTTTTCAACAACGGTGAAAAGACTTAGAAAACAAATAAGCAAAAACTATATTTTGAATGAGAGAAACAAGTACATTGTTGTTCAAATGAAAAGTATTTTATTATCATTCAGTCCGATAAAAAAAGTATTGTTATTTTTATGTTATACTAACAGTTAAAACTAATCTACAATGTGTATAAAAAACAATAGAAATGTAATGATATGTTCTTGCTTACACCCGTGTAACAGCAAGTTGATGTTTCCAGCGGATTTCACCACAGCTTACATTTGTTTGAAGGATTCATTGGTGAATCAGTCGAACAGTTATATGCTTTAGCGAATTCTTCACTATTCGACAAAGCTCCAAATACCCTGGAATACAAGAATAACAGAAATGACTAAGATACGTTCATATTCCGTGTGCATATGAGCCTAATATTGCTGCATCTTTTGTGATTGTTACTACTCACCACAAGTATTGAAATAATAACATCTTAGAAATGATATATTATTCAAATTATTACTATGAATAGTTGTGAAACAATTTCGAAAATTTACAGATGTTTACCTGAATTCACGGAAAAGATGATGCGCATTATTTTGATAGTGTGCATATAAACCGGCACGCATATGGCCACAAAACGTCTGTCAATTTAAATAAATAGAATAAAGCATGTCATGTTATCTTCAAGCAAATGTTTACATTTCTTTCAAATAATGTTTTGGAGATTAGTGCTTCTGCACATTGAAATCATGAATCAACCACCGTTAGAAACCTAGAAGCACTCGAAGACCGTTTCGTCCTTGTGGGTGAATAATCAGCGGTGTGCGTCTAGCACTGCTGTACCTTGCAAGATTCGAACACTGGACCTTAGGTGTCTGGCGTAGACATCTGAATCCTGAACCACTGAGCCGGCCCTCGACGGTGTTGATGTCTACCTCCGAAAAGTCTAAATATTATGCCTGACCTCACCCAATTGTCATTGGCGGTTACTGTTTAAACCCGGCAGGGTCTAACTCCACCGGTCACGTCTTCTCATCAGAACTTTGAGAACTTCTTCACAAAGCTAATCACTGGTGAGCATGGTTTACGATTTTTTCCAGCGAGTTTCAGGAGTCCTGGATGAGCACTGTTGAGGTGTCCCACATCAAGACAAAAGGACCTTCCAGTGCTTCCGCAATTCTATTGGTGGTCTAACAATGATTGTTTGGCCGATGATTTAAAAGTTAACGTTTAAAATTGTTGTGTATTGACGCGATGTCAGTCGTAGTTAGCATTATTCGTTGTAGTATGAACTAACAAACGCCATTTATTGGACCACTGCAGTTGAACCTTGATCGTTGTGAGCCAGTTACTCACTCAAGATAATGGATGAGTTTGCACAATGTCGTGGTTAGTTTGAAGTTAAGTATTAACACATTTTCATGTCCACTGATTGGTCTAGTGATTAGAGCTGAACGCATATAAATGAAGTTCCAGGGCTCAAATACCGTTTGTGCACTTCCAAACGGTCCGATACTATGACGAGACGGCCGTTCAGTACATCTAGGTTCGTAACCGTAAAATAACATTGAACCATTTGTGATTTCAGTGATATTTGCAGACTTCAAAGCTGCTATTACTGGATGCATGTAAAGAGAACACAAACAGAAATTTTTTTCAATTCACAAACATAACGCATAAGAGCACCTTGCCTCATTCTTCTCACTGAATGGGAAAAATGTAGACGTTACACGATGTGTCGTTTCACTTGTAAAGTTTCTACGAATAAATATGAATATATATGAATAAAGTGAAGTTTTAGTTGATTTGATAAGGAACTTCCGGTGCTATCTCTATCGTATGCATCAATTTCTCTGTGTCAGAATGTTCGTATTGCGTTCAACTGCTTATTCATTTTCGGAAACTGATTGCTAACCATATTTACATTCTGTTGTGTACAAGAACGTCTTTAATCCAACTGTGGGACTAAACGAATAAAACTTTATTATGATCAACATATTCATCCTCAAAAACTGTGCTCACAAGCGTAGTACACATATATATGAAAAAAGGAATTTCTTCTTTGCCTAACTTCATTGAAGCCACTACCAGTAAACGAATGGCTATTCAAGTGAACATAAACACTGCGAAGAATGCGTGAACCGAAAAACTTCATAAACGCCTTTCCGACGGAAGTGAAAAGTATCAAGCATGTAATTGAGAGATGTTCACGGTCGTAAAACTTACAGCTAACTGCTAAATAGTCCAAGCACAATTGTGTTTGGCAATATTACAGCACTCAAAATTCAAATAAGGACTTTTATACGGGTACTAAAGGTGATAATGTAGAACTAATTAAAATAACTATTGTCGTTGGTCAGCAATAGTTTATTTTTAGGTTTCAAAATGAGTCAAACATTCTGTGTTTTATTAATTCGCCTTCGATTCTTCAACAGTAACAACTTTAGTTTCATATATTTTGGAACTGAATGTGAACATTTCGGATGATCTATTCCACCAAAGTGTCGATCATTAATTTCAATTTAACTGAGCGCTTACTAGAGCAACTAAATCAGTTAGGATTATATACACATATATCTGTGTTCAAATGTTTTGGATAAAGTCAGACCTAATGTGACTTAAACTCAGATTGATCTATGTCTACGTCTATCTTTTTCCCGCTTTAAGGACTATAGGTGTGCCACATATTTTCAATATTGTATTGCATTCGTCGTGTAGTTTTTGAATAGTTATATATTTTACATACAGAGAATATCTTTTCAATTTTCACTTTGTATTGTCGCCGTGCATACAAATAACAGTTCACTTTTATCAACCTACCTGTGCGAATTTCAGGAAAAACAATCTATCGGATGATAAGATTTCACTTGCATTTTGAATTCTTCGTCTAGTTAGCACCCTTCGATGTGTCTGAAAGGGGAATGAAACAGTCATGCGAAATATAGATCATTCATGACTACTGTGATGAAAGCGAGATACTGACTGTCGATGGAGGTTGTCTTAACAGCTGGAGTGCAAATTCTGTCAGTCGTTTCAAAGATTTTTATGTCAGTAGTTTTTATAACTATGAGATTTGTTTGCTCTTTAAGTATTTATCTCCAGTTTTGCATGACTTTTAATCTTAGTTACTTTCATCAATAAATATTCAACTACTAAATTGCTAACGCATCACATTTTGGATGAATTGAAATGTTTGTACGAAAGGGAGATGTGAGTACAAAAATTCAAAGTTATGGTACACTGGTTAGCTATCAGACTGATTTTCACAATTCATTTTTGAATCAGACCTATGAAGTCGAGCATGCTTCAAGCCAGACAATAACAGACTGATGATACTAGGTTAGTAATTATCACGCAACCTTAAAAACTGACTGGAATCGATAATCAGTCTGTTATCCGACATTTATTATTGTAGACGCAGAAAACAGAAATCCGCAATTCTAATTTCGAAAAGAACTCCAAATAGCACCCTATTGAGACATATGACTTCAAACGTCTGTTCTTATTTTGAACTAAATTTTTCATCTGCCGAATCGATAACCATAATCATGTAGTATTGTGAATAGTCGCACAGTGCAACTCCAATTCTCTGAATATCATCCAATACAGTACTTCTTTATCAAGAGAAAAAATACAAACATTTAATTCTGCTCACGTACATCATACATTATTTTCAATCCTCCACTATCGGTCAAAATTTCATCCTGTGTTCCAATCCTGTTGCTCTGTTCATGTTGATTCCAAAAAAATGAAGAGTTGTGATCAACATTTTTGATTATCATCGATTTTTCATCCAACTAAAAAATTGCTCTCAAGGAAATATCTTATCTTTTTCTGGAAACTATATAACATGATTAGGTATATAATTTCAATGTTTTCAAAGGATCTGTAACGGTAACTCATGAATCGATGACTAAATAAAGGCATTATCGGAGGTCTGAATGGAGACCGTTTTATTTTTATCGAATATTCAAGTAAATGATTTCAGTTTGTTTCAACCGCTCAATTTCACTTTTTTCTAGCTTTGACTATTAGACATGATTGTTTGTCGTTCCGTTTGATGAATTTTAGAATTTTAGATGCATGTGAATGAATTTCAAATTTTCCGTAGTAAACGTATATCAGTGTTTAATTAAATCTCTTGGTTCATTTCATTGTGCGCGTACAATATGAGCCGCATATTTGAATAACAATGACGAACATAACACTTCATACTTTACTGCTTAAAATTACTTACCTTTCCATACGCATCCGGATGAAGTTTGTAATGAAGTCGTAGACAATCGGCTTGCTTTATATTTGCAATGAGTCCTGTTTCAGAATTTCGACTTGTTCGTAGATTCCCGTTTTCATCGAAGAGAATGCCTAATAATTATATAGCAAGTAATCAGTGGTACAGAGATGTATTATGTTGCGTTAGTTAACTGATCACTGGTTTAGGCTGAATGGTATCAGAAAAAAGTACCTTCAGCTTTCATTCATTTACTTTTGTACATGTCCCTGAATAACTGATACATGCATTATCAGACTATGGAGAATGTGTCATATTGTCGTGCGTGCTACTTATAATTAGTATATGACTCGAGTGAAAACGTAATGTCTGGCAGCACAAGATGGGGGAAGATCAAGAAAGTAAGAAGAGTGGGAACACAATGGAATCTGTATGAAACACATGGACGGTGAAATGTCAGACAATGGGTTGATGATGAATTGATGTTTTGCAAATTAACGGTTTACGATATGGTTTTCCTATTTTACCAATGAACTCTGTAATTTGCGATAAGTACGATTCGATTGCCCTCACCTGTGTTCTCCTTCACTACAATATGTTTGGGCTTATTTTCTGGAGGTGTGGCCGGCGACGTGAAGTCGCGTATTTTCTGACGACTGAAATAACTCAACTCCGCCTGTAGACCCTTTGGGTCCCAAACTCGGATAAAGGAGGAGGGTTGGACATGGGGTTGGCGATCAGATATCATCAAAAAGCTAACTTGCCAAAAAAACGCTAACCAGAAAAAATAATTCAAACCATTTTAACTCTGCCGTGGGAGTTGGAAGAAGGATTATGACGTCGCTTGATGAAACCCGAGTTCTCTTGAAAGTCACGAGGCTGATGCCTCTTCTGAAAACCAGAGCAACCATTCTTCTAGGTACATGGGACGTTCGTACATTGTGGGAAACTGGAAGACTATTTCAAGTTGCGGCAGAAATGAAAAGATACAACCTCGAGGTGCTCGGGATCAGCGAAACGCATTGGACAACTGAGACTTGCTTCAGCGGAACTGCTGTTATACTCTGGTCGTGAAGAGGAAAACGCTCCACATACACAAGGAGTTGCACTGATGCTGTTTAAACATGCACAAAAGGCACTAATAGGATGGGAATCTCATGGACCCAGGATCATTAAAGCATCCTTCAAAACAAAGAAACAGGACATTACAATGAACGTCATCCAATGTTATGCACCTACCAATGACTACAATGACGACGTTAAAGATCGATTCTACGAAAGGCTGCAGTCAATTGTCGACAGATGCTCACCAAAGTATTTGACAATTCTGATGGAAGGCGAAAATGCCATGGTTACAATGGACGACACTCGATATGAAGACATCATAGTACGACATAGACTGAGAGAAAGGAACGAAAACTGTGAGAGATTTGCAAACCTATTTGTCTTCAACAAACTGGTCATCGGTGGCACAATATTCCCTCACAAACGCATACAAAATGCTACATGGATTTCACTGGACCACACTACTGAGAACCAAATCGACAATATCTGTATCAACAAAACGTTCAGAGGACCATGAAGGATGTGAGAACCAAGAGGGGAGCTGAAATAGCCTCAGATTACCACCTGCTGGTCGCTAAAATAAAACTGAAACCTAAGAAACACTGGATAACTTGCCAGATAACATCACAAAAGTTTGATACAGCCTTTCTTCGGCATACCGTAAACCTCAACGGATTAGAGATACCCCTCACCAATAGATTCAAGGCCCTGCAGAATCTACTCAATGGAGAGGAAGCAACATTGCAGAACAATTGGAAAGGGATCAGGGAAGCAATCACTTCAACATGTCACGAAGTTCTGGGTCACAGGTAGTACCATCACAAGGATTAGATGTCTGTTGGTACGCTTGCATAACTTGGAGAAAGGAGCAACAAGAAGGCAGCAATCAATTTCAGCTGAACAAGAGCAGAGAAAGTTAACTCACAAGCTGCATACACAAAAGCAAACAGGGAAGTGAAGAATAGCATCAGATATGACAAACGAAAGTATGTGGAGGATCTAGCAATGACGGCGGAAAAGGTCGCAAGAGACGGAAACTTCGGACAATTGTACGAAGCAACAAAGAAGCTCGGAGGATACTACCGTAAACCAGAACGAACAGTGAAAAGCAAGGAGGGAAAACTAATCAGCAACACTGAAGAACAGAGAAATAGGTTGGTAGAGCACTTTAATGAACTCCTGAATCGACCGGCTTCACTGAAAACACACAACATTGAAGCAGCATCCACGGACCTCCCAATTAATATTCGCGCACCTTCGATTGAGGAGATCAGCCTGGCAATCAGACAAATCAAGAGTGGCAAATCAGCACCATCAGACAACATTCCAGCAGAGGACATAAAAGCGGACAATGATTCAGCTGCGAAAATATTTCACATCCTCTTCAAGAAGATTTGGGATGAGGAACAAGTAACATCAGATTGGAAAGAAGGATACCTGATCAAAATACCAAAGAAAGGCGATCTCAGCAAGTGTGAGAACTACTGAGGTATCACTCTTCTTTCAATACCAGGCAAAGTCTTCAACACGGTATTGTTGAACAGAATGAAGGGCATCGTAGACCTCAACTTCGAGATCAACAGTCCGGATCTCGTAAGGATCGATCGTGTACTGAACAAATTGCTACATTACGGTTCATTGTGGAGCAATTAATTGAATGGAACTCACCAGTCTACATCAACTTCACCAACTATGGGAAAGCATTCGATAGCGTGGATAGGAAAATACTCTAGAGGCCTCTTCGACACTACAGTGTGCCTGCGAAAATAGTAAGCATGCAAGAGACGACCAGTGTGGCAGCAACCTCTGTAGCAGTAGGTCTCAACATGCATCAAGGAAAGAGCGAAATTCTCCGATGCAACACAACATGCACTAACCAAATCACTGTTGATGGAGATGCCTTGGAGGACGTTGACACCTTTACATATCTGGGCAGCATCATCAACAATCAAGGTGGATCCAATGCTGATGTGAGGGCGCGGATCAGCAAAGCAAGGGTTGCATTTCTATAATTGAAAAAATAGCCGAAACTTCAAACAACTTTCAACCAAAACCAAAATCAGGATTTGAAATACAAATGTCGAGACAGCTCTACTGTATGCAGCGGGCATTTGGAGAACTAGAAAAGCCATCATCAAGAAGATACAAGTGTTTACTAACAGTTGTCCACACAAAATACTTCGGATTCGTTGTTCAGAAACTATCAGCAACAACGTACTGTGGGAGAGAACAAACCAGATTTCAGTGGAGGAGGAAATCAGGAAGAAGCGTTGGAAGTGGATAGGACACTGTGGTGTTTGAATGAACTAGTAACTTCTTGTTGTTGTGAAATGCTTGATTTCGAATTCTAAATACAATACATTCGTTTGTGCATATCTTTAATTCTCGATTCATATACTTCTAAGCATCACAGTGGCGTCGCGATGGAACTTGTAATGGAACAGCTAGATATTCATTCTACTTCTGAAGCTTTTGAAGATTATTGGGAAAGGTTTGAAATCTGGAGTATGACCAGGAAAGATGTCAAAGATGATAAAATTGTGGCTCACTTCCTAACATTCATCGGAAAAGAAGCGTACAGCTTATTGAAAACCTTGGCATATCCAGAAAAACCTATTTCACTTCCCTATGCAGTGCTAAAGGAGTTATTATTGAATCATTTAAAGTGCCCTGCCGTGAAAGAGCGAAATTTCATAAGACGATTCGTCAAAATGACCAAAATGTTAAGGAATTCATTCTTGAATTGCAGAAACAGGCTGTCAAATGTAATTTTGGTGATCAACTTCATGTGCAGCTGAGAGACCGATTAATTGCAGGAATTAACATACCTAGTTTGGAGAGAGAGCTGTTAAGAATGTCAAACTGTTCCTTTCAAGATGTTAGAACTGCGTGCATTAACTACGAGGCGTTGAATGAACTTGATATTCAGTCGATGAAGATTTCCAATACTTTGATTAGTTGTCATGATGAAAAGCAATCTCAGGGTCAATCAAAATTGTGTTCGTTTAACAGAGGTTCCGATTCTCGTGTAAAAATGAACGGTGTCTCAAAAAAGAATTACAAAGGAAATCAAAAAGGTGAGACCAAGTTTGGCAAATGTTTATCATGTGGAAAACTTCATTCTCGTTATTATTGTACATTTCGTAATGCTAAATGTTTTAGATGTGGTAAGATAGGACACATTCAAGCAGTATGCAAAGCTACTGTTCATTTTGCCTCAAGTAGTACTAAAGCTTGTAATTTAGATTCCAATAATTCAGCTGATCCTAATGATCATTTATCTTTAACTACCATTTCGAAAGGTAATGCTCATATTCAAAAGCGACTATATACATCACTTGGTTCATTTCATGACTTTATTGTGGACACAGGCAGTATAGAGTCCATTATTTCATTCAAGAACTTAAAATCGTTAGATCCAAACGTTGTGATACGACCCACTGATGTATCAATATTGTGGATTACTGGACACAGACTGCCTATATGAGGATGTTGTGAATTGCTAATAAGAGATGATAATTCCTCATACATACCATGTGAATTCTTAGTTAGCGAAACGGGACTGTCAATACTGGGTTTAAAGAATTTGAAAAGGCTTAAAGTGGAGTTGTCTCTCCTAGTTTCTAAAGAAAATTCTGATGCTTTACTTAAAGATTCGATAGCCACGTGTTCTAAGTGCAGTGGAGGTATGAAAACTGCTATTGATTCTATTGCCGCCTCAACATTTAATGAGCTGGAGAGGGGAGTAGATACCTTTCTACTGCAATATACAAATGCCAGACATTCAGTGACAAAAGAGACTCCATCAAAACTATTAAAAGGAAGAATTCTTCGGTCGAATATGAGATGTTTGGAGTCTGCAGAAGTTACATATTATCGTGGCAATGAACTTCGACCATCCACGGAGATCGTTCAGAAGAATGTCGGGAAATCTATGGTGCGACTTCTAGATATCAATGACTTAAGTACACATAATCGACATGTTGATCAAATACAATTTCAAGAGCCAGGTGAGTCTGTTCCAACTTCGGTTGTTAATTATAATACTAATGAGAGCATTCTAGATAATACAGAGCCTTTATCCAATACACTGTCGGACAGATACAGGATGAATTTGAGAAGAAGACGTACGATTGATTACAGACATATACATTCCAATTTAAGCTGTGGCGGATGTGGTGTTTGAATGAACTAGTAACTTCTTGTTGTTGTGAAATGCTTGATTTCGAATTCTAAATACAATACATTCGTTTGTGCATATCTTTAATTCTTGATACATATACTTCTAAATACTACAGACACACACTACGAAAAGCACCTAACTGCGTCACAAGACAAGCCCTTCAAGGTCAAAATAAAAGAGTAAAGCCAGGTAACACATGAATCCGAGTAATGGGGAGAGATATGAGAGGAATGAACAAACATTTGACAGAAATGGAAAGGGAAACCCAGGACACAGTTGGTTGGAGAAAATTGGTGGGCGGCCTATGATTCGTTGGAGGTAACAGGCGGAAGTAAGTAAGTAAGGAATAAGTCAAATCCACTCGTTTCTAATAGTGAACCTATTCAACGTCAGTGCTCTGGAAATTCGCATTTCTTGATTAGGCGAAGAAAGAAATATAATATTATATCATCAATTTCCAGCTAGATAACTTCTATTGGTGATTACATTTCTTTGATCAAACATCAAATGTATTAATGCGTGATAAATGGACACATAAAGTGCAATTTACCTGTAATATCAATAGCGTGTAAAAATTCATGAGCGATGATCCAACCCAGTCCTGTAAATTTAAGGAATTGATTCTCATTCTTTTCATACAACGGTGTTTGCATTAATCCAGCAAATATATATATGATGTTTAGTTTTCTCACATTGAAGGCTTCTAACAAATAAGTTGGTTTATCAGGTTGTGACCTATCGAATTAATCATGCAGACAACAATGAAATGCTTAATTCAATAGCGTGATATTTATTCAGGATAAATTGCTTCATATAAATTTACTGCAAATTTTGCTCACGATGAAATGATTATGAGTTTCGTTAGCATACAATGTTTGAGCTCTGTGAGATAATTGTTAATTATCTGATTTGATTTCATACAGCGAAACCTTTTGCCACTAGTCTCATTCGCCTCGTCACAAGTTAATAAAAATCACAAATAATCTATTTTTCAGAGTATCGACAGTAGAAGAACCAATAAACCACAAATTATTAAGAATCAAACAAAAATGATCGAAATATAATGGCTTACTTTGGACCGAACATTCCTAATGCTTTCTTCAATCTGTCTAAATAGATAGATTTCTGAGCATAATATTCGTTTAAAATATGGTCCGACGAATTCATACGATACTGAAATTCAATGATTCGCATGGACAGCATAGATTCAGATAATTGAATTATAAGAAATCAACACAAAGCACTTTTGCAACACAGGTGACACGCACATATATGTACGTGTTGTCGAAAATGAGATCGCAAGTGAGTTGAGATATTTGTATGAATAATTTTAATGTCATCCGTAACTGAGGTTACTTGGACGCAGCTATGGGAAACGTGTAATTTGCAAGCGCCGGTACAATCTTAGTTTTCTGCTCCTTAACTGCGTTTGATCATATGATCTTTTACAATGATCTTTTTATACACACAATTTAAAAATTATTGTAGTAACCCTAATCCTCAACTCACGTTTTTGTATATATGTGTGGACACGTACATGAGCGACAGATACTCAGGTGAGTTCCTCCACATGACCTACTTTATTACGGGATCAAAAAATGTTGAGTTAATACAAACAATGAGAAACAGTTTAACTCGTACACAATCCGACACAAATCTATTTTGATGAAACAATGTTTTTGTCTGCAACAAACTCACCTTATATATTGCTGAAATATTCTCTCTTCTTTCCGATTCAGTCAAATCAGAATATAAGATGAAAGGTCTGATTTTTTCAATCTAAAATATTTATTCATTTGTTATGAATAAGTGAAAGCATTTGTAAGTCAAGCTTACCTTTCTCTTGGCAAACAGTTTTGTATCGTTGTCCAACCATGTGGCTTGTGTAATAGCCTCATTTATTGTATCTCTGATTTCGCTCACCAGCTGCCATACCTTTGAATAAAAATGTATTACTGAGTTAAGCATTCGATCTTATCAAAGTTAATCTAAATTTTCTTGCTAATATACTTTTCCTGAGGTGAGCGATTATCTATCGTATGATAGATAACTGTACATTCTCGCAGTAGTAACTCGAGGCATTTGATGTTGATCGCTTTAAGAACAAGACTGACAAGGATTTGTAGTGCCTCCACATATATTGCAGTTCGATTACATTGAATTTGGTTAAGCCCTTTCGATTAATATATTTAACCAAGCTATTTGTATAGCGACAAGCCATATGTACCATTGGTATTTTTTATTGTCTGGTTTGTATGAGCTTGTACGACTACTCAGATACATTGTAACAGGTGTGTGTGTTCACTTCAGCCTCAAAATTCAAATCAAACTCATCAATGAATATCAGTGTTTCAGAGTGTTTTTTGTTTCTCAGTGATGTTAAATTCTGTTGGCATCATTGAAATAATAATGGTTAGCGCAACTGATTTTGCATGATCTCTGTTTTCAGTGTTGAGTTTGTAATAGAAATCTATCGTTCACATTGCTAGTATAGTTATTCAAAGAATAAAAGCTAACCTCATTTTTCTGGTATTCGGTGATGTGTGAAGAGAGGTAGTGCTTTTCAAATGTCCATGGAAATACAGTCTTCACTCGATTCATACAATGAGGTGAGAAATATATGGCACCTCCTATTCAGAACACAAGAAAATGAAAGTATTGTTGTTATGTTCTTACATAGTGCATTAAATGCGTACACTTAATGACAGTTTACTGACAAAGTTAAATTAGTGGACAAAGATCCGTTCATGTTTTTAAGGTTTATTATATGACCGAATATTATATATATATATATATATATATTTTGACCGAATTTATACGTGTTACCTGACTTATTAAATGTCGGTGATTATAAGACACTTTAGACACCTGTTGTAGAAAATCACCACTACAAAGAAAGATTGCCCTTATTTCATTATCCGTTCGGTACTTGACAAGTATTCAACTCTGTAAATCAAATGGGCTCCAGTGTTTTATTGAATGCTCACTACAATAGAATCACCAAATGTAGTGAACGAGAACAGAGGTGGGGCAACCGGATTGTATTTAACGAAAATTACAGAGTTACTCAGTAAAATCAGGAAACCATATCGTAAATCGTTCATTCCCAAAATATCAGTTCATCATATCGAACTGGACTGTTCCTGTTTCAAAACATCAATCCATTGTCACTATTCATGCGTTTCATACAAATTCCATTGTGTTCCCACTCTTCCTTTCTTGATCTTCCCCCATCTTCTGCTGCCAGACATTACGTTGACACTCACGTCATACACTACTTATAAGTAGCTCGCACCACACTCGTCCCCCATTTTTATAAGCTGTCGTCACTTTCAAAACAGGGACCCTGGTCAGTTAATATCACCTTTCGTATTCCGTGACGAGCTTCAATATGCCGGATTACTACTTCGGTCATTGTTCTTGCCCGCTGGTCTGGAATGGGTACGGCATCTATCCAACGTGTAGCGTTTACTAGTTCCCGCTGCTGAGACACGGCGGCAGGCACACTCTCGATAAATTGCGACGCCAACAACAACTCCCCATTCATACTCGGCAGCGCACGGCGCATCAACATCGCTAGCTCCACAGCCAGCGCCAACGGTCACCATCAGACGACAGCCTCGCCAGCCGGAAACTGTGCGGCAACTCCTCCCTGTCCGCCGGGCTGTTGAACTCTGTCATCAGCCGCCTGGTGACCGTCTCCCACGCCGTCTTCCCGGCGGCACCGTGCAGGATGTCGTTTACCGCAATCGCCTCACCTGCCCGCAGTGTCCACAGCACCGCCAACTCCGCCCTAGGCCCCTTCACATCCATCAGATCCACCGCGGCCTCAAACTCCTCCAGGAAGCTCTGCAAATCTCCATCCTCCAACTATTTTGGCCACGGGAGCTCCTTCCCTCGAGCTGGCAGCAACACCAAATGTAGTGAACAAGAACACAGGTGGGGCAACAACTTCAAAAATTATGTATCCGTTTTTCAATGTTCAATAACCATGCTTAAATGATTTCAAGTTTCACTGAAATTATCATCTCAAGTTCTAACTTTCACACGTATTTGTTGAATCACATTATTGTTTTCATCATATTTTGTATTCTTCATGTACTACCCATCATGCGGGTATGTATGCATCGACAGTCTGTTAGACTCAACTTTATTCGCTCAACAACGAAGAAGATGTCCTTTGCAAATTTTTTGCAACATGGTGCGTAAATTAGCCTAAATGCACCTAATCAAACGTGGTCCATTTAAAAATGAATATGAATGTATATAAAACCGTTTTATAAAAGAATATTACTTATATAATAAAATTTATTTGAAATCATCAATCAATCATCATTAGAGCATCATTAGAAATGTGTGTAAAAATACAAACCTTCAAAACTATACCCGAAAGTAGTTTTTATGTTATACTAGTAGGTTTACCTGGATTTGTCATATAATTATCCGTGTCAAGATTTCCTGAACTAACTGCATGTTGTACGACAAAATTCAATATCGCCAAATTGTAGAGTGCACTTCAAAAATCATTAGAAATAGAAATAAGGAGCAACTGTATTCTGGAGAATGTCACTATCATAAGCAATTATCTTCCAAAAAACAATTTTTTAGAGAAATTGAAAAACGGAGCTGAAATTAATGCTTACTCTTTCGCCGTCTATCACATCTCAACATGTTTGGGATTCCCGCGAATGGAATGCATTTGTTAATGTGACGCTATATAGGTGAGTCATTTATCTGTGCAGCACTAACTGTTTAGATAAGCTTATACATTCAATCAACAATCGGCAAATAATTCGATTTCTGAGAAATCACTAGACAATCTCTTATATTCACTGGTTTTAATGTGCTTGTGTGTAACCATTTCCTTTATTGTTTCATTCCGTTAACTTCAGAACATTTAAATAGCTGAAACGGTCTTCATGGATATCGAAATCAAAAATCAATAAAAGTTGTTCAATCATTTGAAGCACTTTATTGGAGTCCACTTGTATGCATTTTTAACTGTGAACAGCTAATAAGTTTCAGAAAAACACACTCCAATTATAATCAGACTTCATGCATTGCTCACAGAGTTTTCATTATTGTATGTCAGGTTGAAGGATATTAGCACTAGGTAACTTGAAAATCCTTTCTCGGATTCATTCATCTGATGTTATATCAGTCGTTATATCAGGTCACGTGCGTAAGCACATCACACAAACGTAAATATAATATGTAAGTGTATGCTCTATAGAATAACCAGAACAAGCGAAATCGTTGTCCTTGAAAACTTTCAAATATGTAACCCGAAGATTTTAATTATGTATATAAAATTAATTATTCTACATTATTATACCACATTTCGATCACTTGAACAATAAATAAACAAACGGGAAATCAATTTGCTGAAGTACCTTTTGCCTGCGTCTGTTTCCAACTGAATTTTATGAAGTCCACAACGATATTGTAATAGAAATGTATCTGCAATCTCTATTTGCCGAGGATTGTAGGTTGTTAATCCATTTTGATCGAACAATTTGGTGAATAAATAATCCCAGTCGATCTAAACAGTCAATGCAGTGAATTTGTGAACAATGTTTCTCAAAATGTATTTGATCGGAAAATTCGTTTGTCTTAATGAATAGACTTAACAGGTGTTACGCACATGATTGATGTGAAATAAATGGTATCTTTGTAAAGTAGCTTTATTGAATTTGTGTGGATGTCAGCAGAATGAACAAGTCATTCACTAAACTAGTATTCTAGATTTTTTCCGCATTTCCATAACAGATTACACTGTTATCAATAAAAACAGCTGTAAACGATACAATTGATTATGCTTGTTGGTGCAATCTTCATTTCTAAACAGTCTTGAATAAAATTAAGGCTTATTTTACTCATCAATTGATCCAGTGACATCTTTCTAAGGTGGAACCTAGTGGTCGTACCCGCTTATGAATATCATAGATCATTATAGACCTATCATTCACCTTCCTTGATCTTCAACCTAGTAACGTGATCTCGGTGTCTTTCAATCTATCCTTGATTTCTAAAAACTTATATACTTATCGATCAACTATGATTAAAAATGTAAAGCCTTAGTTAATAATTCTTTTGAAAACAAAATTTCGCTTCATGAACTCTTTTAACTTTCATGACCGACTTTGTTCACTGATCATATGTCAAATAACCATTAATCTAATTGAATCGTAAACAAATATATGCTCATCCCTATTACAAATTCACAAACTGTATGATGAGTCGTTAGGATATCATCAATGCGATGTTCAATAAGCCACTGTAGAAAACATCCTTGTTCATCTAGTCAAAGCACATTTCTTGATAGTTTTCTTAGGTGTCAAAAACAATGTGCAACCGGTCTATGATCGGTTGATTTATTTGCATTCATCATCTATATCAAAACTATTCGTTTTGATTCAGTGTCATTTGACTATTACCCCACAGTCTGTCTGGTTTCAACTTTCCTATTTTAAGCTTTCAAGTGTTAAATAATGAGGATTGCTCATTTCATGATACAGTTTAAAAGAAGACAAATTTGTTTTTACCTGTTCACAGATAACGTTAAGTTCTCTCAATGTAACAATTTTACTTGACTTCGGATATTTTCGTGAACCTAATGAACTCTACAGATCAGAATAAAGAAACGAATGAGAAGATCGAGCAATGAAATATGTCAATTAGTCAATTAGCCAGAAAACAAAGAAAATTTGCTTCTCGTTGGTATGGGAAATTATTCTGTGAACTGAGAAAATAATGAGTTCAGTATGTTTCTGTTGAAAGGTTTTGTATAATCTCAACAATTAAACTGTCAAAAATAAACAATACTTACTTACTTACTTACGTCTGTAACCCTAGTTTTCTCCAACCAACTCGGTCCCTTCCCAGTTCTGTCCAATGTTTGTTCATTCCTCTCAAATCATTCTCTATTACTCGGAGTCATGTGTTACCTGGACTTCCTCCTTTTATTTTGACCTTAAGGGGTTACATTTGTAAGCTTGTCTTATGACGCAGTTTAGTGTTTTTCGTAGTGTGTGTCCTACCTACTTCTACCGCCTCTTCCTGATTTCCTTCTCTACTGCAACCTGGTTTATTCTCTCCCATAGTACGTTGGTGCTCATCGTGTCTGACCAACGTATCCTCAGTATTTTGAGTAGAAAACTGTTCCTAAATACTTGTATCTTCTTGATGATGGCTTTTCTAGTTCTCCAAGTGCCCGCTCCATACAGTAGTAGAACTGTCTTGACATTTGTATTGAAAATCCTGATTTTGGTTTTGGTTGAAGTTGTAGATAATTTTCAGCTGTGGAAATGAAGTCATTGCTTTGCCGATCTGCGACCTAACATCTGCATCGAATTCACCTTGATTATAGATGATGCTGCCCAGATATGTATAGGTGTCAACGTCCTCCAAGGCATCTCCATCAAGAGTGATTTGTTCGGTGCATGTTGTGTTCCATCGGAGAAATTTCCTTTTCCCTTTATGTTGAGACCTACTGCTGCAGAGGCTGCTGCTACACTGGTCGTCTTCACTTGCATTTGTTGTTGCGGGTGCTATATAAGAGACAGGGCATCTTCGAAGTCCAGATCGTCCAGCTGAGTCTTTGCTCTCCACTGAATACTGTGCTTCACGCCAGATGCCGACGTCTTCAATATCCAGTCGGTCACCAGAAGAAAGAGAAAGGGTGAGAGTAAGCAACCTTGCCTGACACCGGTCGATCTCGACCTCAAAAGAGTCTGTAAGCTGACCTCCGTGTACGATTTCGCAGTTCAATCCATCATAACAATTCGGTATAATGTTAACTATCCTCTCAGGCACACAGTAGTTTCGAAGAGGCCTCCAGAGTATTTTCCTATCCACGCTATCGAATGCTTTCCCATAGTCGGTGAAGTTGATGTAGAGTGGTGAGTACCGTTAAATTGGTTGATCCACGATGATCCGTAATGTAGCAATTTGGTCAGTACACGATCGATTCTTACGAAATCCGGACTGTTGATCTCGAAGTTGGGCATCTGCGAAGTCCTTCATTCTGTTTAACGATATACTGCTGAAGACTCTTGTTCGGCTGCCTTCTTGTTGCTCCTTCTTTCAATTTTCGCAAGGGTACCGACTGATATCAAATCCTTGTGATGGTACTTCTTGTGACTCAGAACTTCGTGACATTTTGAAGCGATCGCTTCCTTGATCCCTTCTGATTCTTTCTCCAATGTTGTTTCCTCTCCATTGAGTAGATCCTGCAAATCCTTGAACCTATTGATGACGGCTATCTTAAATTCGTTGAGCTTTCCACTGTCGCTAAGAAAGACCGTAATAAACTTGTGTGATGTTGTCTGCCCCGTTGTTAAGTGCGTATGACCTTATAAAATACCTGGATAGCATCGATTTCAATCGATGCCTTTAGTATGGTTGAATTTTAGAGCATAGTACTGTTCGTCAAAAATGACTGGAAAAATATAGTATCGAATGAATCTTCTGAGTGAGAATTATCGCCATATGACTATGGATTGGTTACTTGACATTATTAGGACAAACTTCGAAAGTGCATTATGACACAATTAGGGTGTTGGTAGGACACACATGGAACTAAAGCGTGACTACGTTGGCTAGTTTCCTATCCAATCAGCGCCTGATTGATTCCTGGAGAACGGGGCAGAAAATTATCGTGCTTTTAGCTGCATGGTGATTGGCTAAATCTAATCTAATCGATCACGTGAATTACAATTCAGTAGCTTCTCGTGCAAAAACTCTAAAGATACTAACGTTGTATCTATTTGACCTTCGCGTTCGGCTTTGGCTTTGTATTTCCATTTGTAATATAATCTTTTTCCTGTTCCACCGTGATTTTGAATCTTTGGAACTTCTCCATTATATTGTGGTCAGCGAATGCTAAGCTATAGGAATAACCTGGGAATTATTTAAGCAAGAGTTACAACATAGGGTGAGCGAAAAGAATCGTTATTAGTTGGACAACATGACTTTGAATGCTTCAGGCCAGACGTATTAGCGAAGCGAGAGATCATAAATCACCCTTCTTGTTTGACGTTAATTGAAATACTCAAATAGAATGACTTTTAACTGATTATCACACTCATGATTAACATGAAAATCTACAATTTTTATATCGTTTACAAGAATATATCACTTCTCAAGCAAGACTGACTAAAAGCATTTCAGACTTGAGTCAGTTAATTTGTGTTTCTCATCTCGTTTAAATAATTATTATTAGCTTTTTTTCATATTGCATTCAATTAACAAGCACTCAAACTGAGATAAATGATATTCTGTATAATATAACTGAACATTTGTCTAAAATATGTGAGACGTAAATTAGACACTTTATATAACTCATCATAAAAAATGAAAAAAAAAGAGAAACACTTACACCAGCTAAACGGTCAAATAATTCGAAAGCCTCATTGAGACTTTGATTATTCGAACGATTTAAATTCAGAAATTCAAACGTCCGATAAAACATTTGTTTCAGGTCCCGAAATCCTATCTGTTTAAAAGATAATCATAAAAACAATGCACATAGCCAGCCACAAGGTTATAACAGTTGTATATATGTGTGCTAAATAAAAATTCTTTGACATTGCTTACAGACATCTGTAGTACATAATACGTGTGTAAGTATCTAATGTCTGCATAGTTTGATTACTGAACGCATGAAAGTTTCAGTTGAAGCATCAAGAATATGAAGACATATCATGTGCTGTAATCATTTCAATTGTTTCTAAAGTAATAAACGTGTTATCTAATTCATTGAATATTGTGTCACCGAATTTTAAATTTATCCTATCTGTTGTAGCAAGCAATGTATGAGTATCTTACTTACGCCTGTAACCCTGAGTAGAGCATAGGCCGCCCACCAGTTTTCTCCGACCAACTCTGTTCTAAGCTTCCCTTTCTAGTTCTTTCCATTTTTTCTTTATTCTTCTCATGTCTTTCGCTATTTCTCGGCGTATTGTGTTACTTGACCGTCCTCTTTCCTTTTGAACTTGAAAGTTCCATGTGAAAGCTTGTCTTGTGAAACAGTTAGGTGCTCTCTCCCAGAGTAGGTTGTTGCTGTTGTGTCTGAACTACGAATCCGAAGTATTTTGCGCAGACGACTGTTCATAAATGCTTGTCTCTTCTGGATGATGGCATGGATAGTTCTCCAAGTTTCCACTCCGTACAGTAGAACTGTCTTGAAATTTGCGTTGAAAATCCTGATTTTTTCGTTGATTGATATTCGTTTTGAGTTCCAGAAATTTTCAATCGTAGAAATGCAGCCCTTGCTTTGCGAATCCGCGCCCTCACATCAGCATCGGATCCACCTTGGTTGTCGATGATGCTGCCCAGATATGTAAAGGTGTCAACGTTCTCCAAGGCATCTGCATCAAGCGTGATTTGGTCGGCGCATGTCGTGTTGGTTTGTAGAATCTGACATTTTTTACTTTATTTATGTTGAGACCTGCTGCTGCTGAGTCGGTTGCTACACTAGTTGTCGTCTCTTGCATTTGTTTTTGCATGTGAGTATCACTCACTGTAAAGTAATTTGTTTTGTGTGGCTTTGTTGCACTCTGAGTTGAATGATTTTAGTCTATAATACGTGGCGTTAATACGAGAATTATAGTCTGTAATTCATTCGAACTGAATTCACCTGAAATACATGTTTTAGGAAGACGCTTCAAACTTCCTAATATGCGTAACTAATTACTAAACACACTAGAGTTGCCTTGTTTGTGAGTGATTGTTGTGTTTGAAAAATTAGTTCTGTTTTTAGTTTAACTACATGCTAGTGAATAGTTTTGTTTCGATTGATACGTGTACATTATCATGACATTCATTCAAACTGCCTTGTAACTGAGTGACTATGTTCCTAAAGGTTTTGCAATCTTCTTGTGTACTACGACAATAGCCCTGCACCATACGTTTCCATAATGTAAATGATAGCATGTAATGTTATCTCACTGCCTGCGTACGATACAGTAAGTACAAATACAAGGATCATCCACTTACAACAAGTAATTTAGTCTATTTTAATGTCTAGTGCCTTATTTTTATTGATTTCATCTTTCTATTATTAAACTCTGTGTAAAATGAAATGAGGTTGCGGTATCGGATTTTCAGAAACTTTGTGTATGATTATTCACGAAATACTGTTACTATGTATATATGTAAATGACTGTGGAATACTTTGATCAAAACTATATGATTGAAACTTTCACTGTGATATATTTATGATTGTTTTAAATACTCTTCAATGTTCGTCTCTACCAAATGAAGTCACCTTAAACGGCTGAACATCAAATTTTCACTTAATGCGTATTACAAACATGCTTTTTCAAAACCAAAAATAAAAGAGATTCATGGCAAAACTGACTGGCAAAAATGTAGTTCACAGAAAATTTCAATGTTCATGCACTTATTTTAATGACAATAAAGTAACTAATAATTTGATAACGAACGATGCGTTTTAAGAGAAAGTTCAACATTTAAAATGTTCATCATAACCTGCAAATTACCTCGTTCAGGAAATAGGGATCTGATGATAACTGACCTGAAGAGATCTAATAAAATCAGATATAGAAAATAAAATTGTAGAACTTTGGATTTTAAAACACACAGGACATCATCACTCCTAAACCATAAACTGATTTATAGTCTGTCACTGAAGATGTTTTGAAAAACACATTAATAAAACTAGATTTACTGTCAGTTGTTGAACACCGTTATACGTCCACAAATCAATTCGCGGAATGATTACTGAATCCATTCATCAGAATTTCTTCAATACTTCTTTTGAAAGCTACTTTGATGTTTCACAAATCATGAGATTTTTATCTCATGCTTCTTGGGACAATATCAGTCAAATTGAAATTCTGTACGAGGAGTATCCTTCTTCTCATCAACACAATACAGCACCATCTCTTCTCATGCTTATCCTGTCTTTTTCGCCTGCATCTAGTCGATTTTACTTGATCCATCTACCACTTGGTTCAAACTGTTCGTGACTGCAGTGACATGATTATTCCTGTTAGTCTACCAAATTGTGCAATCATCTCATCCACCTAGGATTTTGCCCTTCCGGCATTCAACTCATGTAAATTTCGGAATTGCAAGGTGCCAAATAATAGTACTGTGGTGTGTGCTACTTAAACGAACGATGTTAGTGGTATAAGAAGGGACGTGAAAGAAGAAGTCTCACGGTCAGAAGAGGAAAACGGAAAGCAAATGGAGCAAAAGCAAGAAGTAAATGGAGTACCAACAGGAATGAAAGGAAGCAGCAACAGGAATAGAAGAAGGATGGAGCGTTAGGAGTCACGATTCAAAGATGGTGTGCAAATAGAGTATTCAATGTAATGTTTTCGTTTTTAACTGATTCAGAGTGTAAATTTACATAATTCAATCTTCCTCGTCTGCCTCAGACTTCTCAGTAATGCCAAGTGAAACTAACAGTCAACTCCATGGTTTCATTTCAACTATCAAGGTAACTTGTCCATTGACATTAGAAAATTACATCTACATAATTCGTTGCAAATCAATGGAGACAATAATTTTCCACAGACTTCTTGTTGTTAAAACGTTTGTTCGATTTATTTGTTATTGATTCTAATACCGCATATGGATTTCTTCTACAAGAGCGGAAAACGTTACCTCACTAGCTGCATACACAGAAGCAAACAGGGAAGTGAAGAAGAGCATCAGATATGACAAACGAAAATATGTGGAAGATCTAGCAATCACGGCGGAAAAGGCTGCAAGAGAAGGAAACTTGAGACAATTGTACGAAACAACAAAGAAGCTCGCCGGGAACTATTATAAACCAGAACGACCAGTGAAAAGCAAGGAAGGCGAAATAATCAGCAACACTGAAGAACAGAGAAATAGGTTGGTAGAGCACTTTAAGGAACTCCTGAATCGACCAGCTCCACTGAACACACCCAACGTCGAAGCAGCATCCGAGGACCTCCCAATCAACATTGGCGCACCTACAATTGAGGAGATCAGCCTGGCAATCAGACAAATCAAGAGAGGCAAATCAGCACGACCAGACAACATTCCAGCAGAGGACATAAAAGCAGACAATGAAGCAACTGCGAAAATAGTTCACATCCTCTTGAACAAGATTTGGGATGAGGAACAAGTACCATCAGATTGGAAAGAAGGATACCTGATCAAAATACTAAAGAAAGGCGACCTGAGCAAGTGTGAGAACTACAGAGGCATCACTCTTCTTTCAATACCAGGCAAAGTCTTCAACAGGGTATTGTTAAACAGAATGAAGGACTTCGTAGATGCCCAACTTCGAGATCAACAGGCCGGATTTCGTAAGGATCGATCGTGTACTGACCAAATTGCTACATTACGGATCATTGTGGAACAATCAATTTAATGGTACTCACCACTCTACATCAACTTCACCGACTATGTGAAAGCATTCGATAGCGTGGATAGGAAAACACTGTGGAGGCTTCTTCGACACTACAGTGTGCCTGAGAAAATAGTTTACATCACACGGAATCCTGATGATGGATTCAACTGCAAAATCGTACACGGAGGTCAGCTGACAGACTCTTTTGAGGTCGAGATCGACCGGTGTCAGGCAAGGTTGCTTACTCTCACCCTTTCTCTTTCTCCTGCTGACCGACTGGATTATGAAAACGTCAACATCTGGAGGGGAGCACGGTATCAACTGGACAGTTAGGACGCAGCTGAACGATCTGGACTTCGCAGATGACTTGGCTTTTCTATAGCACACTCAACAACAAATGCAAGTGAAGACGACCGGTGTAGCAGCACTCTCTGCAGCAGTAGGTCTCAACATACATAAATGGAAAAGCAAAATTCTCCGATGCAACACAACATGCACCGACCAAATCACTCTTGATGGAGATGCCTTGGAGGACGTTAACACCTATACATATCTGGGCAGCATCATCTATAATCAAGGTGGATCGGATGCAGATGTGAGGGCACGGATTGGCAAAGCAAGGACTGCATTTCTACAGTTGAAAAATATCTGGAACTCCAAACAACTTTCAACCGAAACCAAAATCAGGATTTTCAATACAAATTTCAAGACAGTTCTACTGCATGCCGCGAGCACTTGGAGAACTAGAAAAGCCATCATCAAGAAGATACCAGTATTTATTAACAGTTGTCTACGCAAAACACTGAGGATTCGTTGGTCAGACACCATCAGCAACAACGAACTGTGGCAGAGAGCAAACCAGATTCCAGTGGAGGGGGAAATCGGGAAGGAGCGGTGAAAGTGGATAGGACACACACTATGAAAAGCACCTAACTGCGTCACAAGACAAGCCCTCACATGGAACCCTCAAGGCAAAAGGAAAAGAGAAAGGCTAAAGAATACATTACGCCGACAACTAGAGAAATATATGAGAGGAATGAACAAACATTGGACAGAACTGGAGAGAGAAGCCCAGGACAGAGTTGGTTGGAGAAAACTGGTGGGCGGCCTATGCTCCATTGGGGGTAACAGGCGTAAGTAAGTAAGTAAGTAATCTCTTCTACAATGAGCTTCTATATGGGATGAAAACAATCAACATGGAGGTTCACCCAAATATGCTTGAATAATGAAGAACTGAAATATTAGCACCTGAATGATCGGATCGATCGTCAAGAATGAGCTTTAATTTTTCTACCTACAGACTAATAGATGTAATCAGAAGGGATAGATTAACACCCTTTGATTTTTATTTTGATAACAGCAAATTTATATGACCATCATGAGGCCCTATATCTTGAGTTATTCAGTGCACACCAGAAATATGCGTCAATTGTCTTGATGAAAGTGGAAGTCCTTTCTTCAATTTAAACCATGATAGTTTAATATTTTATCATTAGTTTACAGATTTACTGATCAGAGATAGTTGATAAGTTGCATCCATATCGCAAGATAACTAATACTCTGTTAGTATAATATCATGTTTTCATTTTCAGGAACTCAATATTCATTTCGAAAACTAAATTAACAACATCTCTTAGTTTCATGATCAATATTATTTTCTCCAAAGAACGGTTGTTTAAAGACTGAATTGACACTTTTCGCGAAAGTCTGTTTCGCATCAAATTCAACATTGACAAAGTAGCCTAATGAAAACAAATTATGCGTTAGAAAAGTTTTATCTGGCAAGTATGAAGATATAATAATGTCATGACTGAACACTAATTCGTAAGACAATTTCTATGATCAACTCACTCGAATTATATTAGTTTCTGCATCAACTTCCAATGAAAATAAAGGTGAATGTCCTGTTGCACTGATCAGTGGTAGGTAGACGTCAGTCAAGCTCAAATTTAGAACATTTTTCACAGCATCAGATCTATTTTCCCAATTCCCACTAAAAGATGTCATTAAATCCCAATGTCCAAATGCCTTCGTGATTAATTGAAGCATTTGGTTTCTAACATGATCATTTGAATCAAACGGAATTTTTATACAAGCTTTGTAGAATTCATGGGCAGCAAATAAGCGGGAATCATTAGAGGCATATGAACTGTTAGCTGGGTTTAGTAGAAATCATCGTTTGTACAGAATGGTGATTGAGTGGAAAAGTATTTCAATGAAATTTAGAAAATTAATAAAACAGAGACATGTTGAAACGGAATGCATAAAAAACAGCATAATTACATTGTTGGTAGCGTGCATTTGACAAATTAGGTTTTGTAGGGCTTATTTACGGAATACTTGGGATAACTGTTCACTAACATGCAGAAGGTAGCTATGAACGAAATGTACTTTCAAGAAAGTGTAGTGGAATACCTATATGAAGAAAACGCGATTGGTTTATTAAGAACATTCATCGTTTATCTGTACTTATTGTTTATAACACATTTTTACGAGCACCGTCTTGCTTGTGTTGCAACCTTTCTTCTCTCTAGTTGCTCTTTGATTCGCCCACTTACCTAGTTTAATTTTGATGTTGTTTGGACACTACGAAATCACCAACAAATGTCTTTTTAACCCTGGATTTATTTTCTCAGTCAGTAGTGATCATAATCAATCTCGAATCGATCACCATCGTCCCTAATTATCCACGACATTCTTGAATACTTTCGTACGAATGTAAGACCTAGTCTATTCTTTTTGCTATTAGGAGGTGTGCAGTTTATTGTGTTTCATTGAAATTATAGGTTGAATAAAGTAATACCATTATTAGAAACCTGTGAACATTGGTCAGAGGTTTTCTTTGAGCGTAGGACTCATCAGTACTGAGAACATATAAGTACCATAAGAGCTATTTCTGAACCAGAACATTTTAACCCATGCACAAACGCGAGCTTTCAAACATAAACCAATTTTGTCTAGAAATCATTCACTACCTAATAAATAAATCAGATCAAATGGATCTTCGATGAAAAGTTCTATTTTGATTGTTTAAATGATATGGTTTTACAAGAAGATGGTAAAAACATATGCATGCAATGAAATCCAATTACATAAAATACAAAAATGCCTACCGATGATATCATAAAAATAATTGTCAATGTTTCTTTGAGCCTTGATAAAAGTATTTATTTGCATGTCATTATCTGGTATAGGATTATTCACTTGCCATTCTCTACATGCATATTGATAAAAATTGTCACAAGGATTGGTTGTGTTTGAAAGGAGAATGTTTACATTTTGACTTGTAGTTTGAGATAGTATTATTTCTATGATCAATGTTAGCAAGAGAATTATTTAGCAAAAAATACGATTTACCATGATGGCAGTTGAGGATAAAACAGATAATCACTAAAATTATTTTAAAAATTATAGAATCAAAATGAAGTTGTTTAACTTTACCATATTGGATAACAGTCACTGTAGACATTTGTGGACTTTTGTGGAATAATGAAGAACAGACTGCTTCCTGTTAAACAAAATTTCGTGACTGAAAGAACGACAAAATATTTTCGAATATATATCACTTCACAAGATTCAATTTCACAAGTAACTGGCTGGCTAATATGGCTAATAATAATGATCATAATCTCAATTTTGAAATATAACAAAATGACCTAATTATGTCATTTATGTGTTAAATACAATTAGAAAAGTGTTTTGTTCATTGGAATTCAGCGTTAATTATTGTCAAAGTAAAGAATTTTGAATCGTACGTTAAATTCAATTAGTTCTTATTGCTTTTGAAAAAAATTCAGCATACTCTTTTCACCATACTTTATTAAGACAAGTTGAAGAAATATTGAGATGTGCTGGATATATTATTTCTCTGTGTATACTAATGTAGTCTCGTAAAATAGTTAAACGAGACTGTTTATAAATTCTATTCTGGCTTTGAATGTTGACTTTTTGTAGTTACACAAAATAGTACTCAGAAATCAAAACAAATGTCTATTTTCACTTCTAACTATACCACCTAGAATATCGACACTTCTTCTACATCATGACTGTATAAAAATGGAATCAACAATGAGTTTACTAGTAGGTTTGAATAATATTTTATAGAGTAATCAGAAGAAACAACATGTGGAATCCATTCAGGATCAATCGTTCTAAACTTCATGTGATAATATTTATGCATCTATATTATGAGCCTGGAACTTGACGTCGTACAACAAAATTCAACTATACAGTAAGCACGATACTAATTGTCACAACATTACGTGTTAACTGAAGTCGCGAATCCTAAACACGGTATTTCAAACTAATAGCTTGGTGTAGCTAACTTGTTAGATACAGTCAACAGTTCAGAATCCTATTTGTAGAGTATTTATTCAATTTATGTTTAGCCATATGTTTGTGTACATTTAAAATTAATTCTCAACCGTCCAGCGGATTTTCAATTCGATCGGAATACCTTCTAATATTAGTGAAAGAAAAAACCTCAATGATTCGAATATTAAGGTCTTATGAATTCTAATTTGTGCTGAAGGAAGGTGTACGGATAGCACATGCCTTTTCCTTCGCAATACTGGCTCTGCACCACGTCAGGTGATCGAGGTAGCACTCACTTGAGTTCATTCGTAAGACCATCATCAGGTATTATGTAGTTTCAAGATTAGCACATACATGTGATTTTCCCATTGTGGTAGAGGTAGACGAAGTAAAAGCAGTGATCGGAAATTTTAGGGAAGACGTATTCAAACAGTGTTTTTCGTCTTACGTCTGGAAAGTAAGCTTCGTAAAGGGAAAAATATATGTCTATATAAGATCCATTGGACAATGACTTGTGAAAGTCAAATATAATAACATAATCTGTCACCTAAAATAATCTATTGTATTTTTAGAGAGACTTTTGATGATGAGGATAAATTTCATCACGTTGTCATAAATTATTTCATGTCATGATCTGCTGAAAATACAGTTTTCTCAATTTTCACAATTGAGCTAACAACTTTCTAGAACTTTAACATTTTTCATACAGAATTATATAATTTACGAGACAAATGAAACTAATGAATGTAGTCCACGCAACAATGATGTGATTTATTTGTTGGTAGCTGGATAAATAGACAACAATAGTCAAAACGAGTTTCTTTATTCATTTAAAACTCTGCCACGTATAAGACTAACATACCTTACGCATAAAAACTCAATGAACAATGAATTTATTTGCATATTGAATGTTTTTTTCAAAGTAATGAGACAAGCATTTTTGAGGACAATTGATATTTACGCATAAGTAGTACGAGTCAAAAAAATTATTGTTTACGTCTTTTGCTGTCCTACTGTCTGTAAAAATAATTCAATCATTGATACCATGAAGCATGAGAGTTCTATAAGTTTACAAACTTACAAAATCTCGACTTTGAAACTTGAAACTAATGCTTAGGCGTAACTGATATGCTAATTACGGTCCACAGTTTAAAATGCTGTTTATCTACGTTTTCGGTGATCCAGATTCAGCCAAAATTTTGTGTGAAGAAGTTATTAGTCCCTAACATTTCAACAGTCTTTCAATTCGATTAAGATACCTTCGACCAACTTAAATGTAAAACATTTGGAGTGGCATAGTGCAAGAACATTACTCGCTTGAATACGTCGTTTTTTGAAATCTCAATAATTCTGATTCAACCTGAGTAGTAGTAATGTTCTAAGAATGCTGAATGTTACTAGACAATTGTCAGTACGCTATTTCGGAATGTAAGCTCCATTTGATATTGAACTTGCAGTTAACACAGGGCGCCTTCTCTGATGGCTTTTATTGAGGTTTCGTATCAGATCAGGCGCTCATCACATCATAATACTATTGATTCAGTTTCCGAGTACTGATATCGAGTGTAATGAAATGGCTGGTGAACGAAAAAGTGAGGGAGTACATGAATAGGAATAACATACTGCATGAAGCTCAACGAGGGTTTCGGAAAGGCAGGTAGTGCGCATCCAATCTCCTCATAGCATGGGACATTTGGACATCCTGCACGGCCAAAAGAACACAGGTACACGTAATGTTTCGTGACTTTTCAAAAGCCTTCCCCATGCAAGTATAATCGCGAAAGTTGCCGAAATCGTATTCACTGGCCCACCTGGAAAATAGAAAGTTTCGTAGCAGCGTAAATAGACTGAAAGAGAGCTAGCAAGTATCGAGAGTTTCACAGGGAACCATCTTAGGCCTACTTCTCTTCCAGATATCTAACAAACGATCTTTTAGACAGTAAGCTCGCAGGCATTCATCCAAGCGGACGATGTGGAGATCTGGTGGTCCATTAGAAGCGAAGAGCATTCCACAGTGCTTCAAAAGGACCTTGCATCCAGTGAGGAATGAGCAGTGAAAAACGGTCTAAAACTAAAACAACCGTAGTGTTGTGTCAAGTACATTCCGCCCCATATGACGCAAACCATTTTCACCCTTAGTGAAAGTCCGCTACCTAAAGTCTCTATATAGGGAACGTAGCCATGGCAAATGTGACTCTCGCCTTTATGCGAAAACAAATTGGTGTAATCACCTAACAATTATTCTTAGCGTCATTTAAGACATACGTGCACCCACACCTTGGGGCTCATAACGTTGACGCACCCTCCCTCCTTCAAAGAGACAAATCTCTTGCATCGATTGCAGAGACGAGCAGCGAAATGGGTGATAGGGCTGAAGAACAAAATTTACGAAGACAGACTCCATTATTCCAGATTATTCTCCCTCAGTTACTGGAGAATCAGAGGTAATCTGATTATGGCGTACAGCACAATAAGCTCGCCAAACCATCTCACAGTGAGCGTCCTACCGATACATCGCCACCACTAACCTCCAGTCAATACACAAAAAATTGAGCATCAAACTGAAAATACTCAGGTTCATGCACTTCTCCTCATTAGAATTCTTTGCAACTTGGAATGCTCTCCCAGCTGAGGTGACCTCAGCGGATAACTTTAAGACGATACTTGATAAATATGTAATCACATACCTATTATCATCTCCCTCGGAGACGAGCAGCGCCTCATGCATATCTTGG